GGAAAAGGGAGAAGATAGATAGCTACCCTGCTGAGTAAGGTGGAGGACTCCAGAAAGGTGGAGGGCCCTTTGGCCCTTTGTTCCCGGCTGCTTCTATCAGGTGCCAGGGCCCTTCACCTTAGCTGGAAATTGCCATAACCTGTGTGTATATATGTACAGTGGTGCCTCGCTTCACAAACTTAATTCTTTCCATGATTCTAGTCCTAACTGAATTGGACAAAAACTAAATCAAATTTCCCCATAAAGTCAACATTGAACCTGACCATGGAATTTGACTCGGTTCTCGTCCAATTCAGCTTGGGACCAGAATCATGGGAAGAATTAAGTTCATATGATCTGAGGTACCATGATATATAGACCTGTAGGTGTGTGTGAGTGTGTGTGTGTCTGTGCACATAATAAGAGCTTTCTTTTAAGTAGCCGCCCCTTGCTCCTTTGTATCTGTCTTATTGGAGATGGGTGAGGGGCAGCTGCCTTGGCTTCAGCCACTTGGTCTCTCTTCTTGTCTTGCTAATTGCTTTGTCCATTGAACCTTTAACTCTTTCTAGTTAGGATTAGCCAGAAAGCCCAGTGAGGCTTTTCCCTGTTTACAGACCCCTTTCCCTACATTACTTTTACAGGCATACAGTTTGGTTCATGAACAAAAGTGTTCAGCAGAATTTTGCTTCCATTCACAAACTCCACATCAAATGACATTAAATCTTATAAAAATATTTGATTCTGTTCACGACCAATTTAGTTCACAACCAAAATCATAAAACAAGTTTGTGAACCAAAGCACTATTGTATTAGTTTCTTTGCTGATCTCTGAGTACTTATTGCTTAATCTATCTGTACAACTTCTTTGGGCTTAAAATGTTTTTCCTAAAATATGTTCTCTGTTATATCCTTCAGTGGGACTTTGTAGAAGATAATCTCTCTTACTGAAAAACGTCTTTGTTTTACACCCTTGAGTGACAGTTAGCAAGTAATGAGTCCTAGGTAGGCAGTTGTTTTTCCTGTAGCCCTTGGAAAACCCTTTTTCTTCTGTCCTCTGTGGTGTGGTGACACTGGTATCAGTCTAATTGGTGTCAATCTTTTGAGGGTTTTTTTTGATGACTTTCAGAAGGTTCTTTATCTGTAGAATTCTGCAGCTTGACTATATGTCTTCCTGAAATTTATTCTTTTGTTTTTGTTTTTGCCCCCCCCGCCCCCCGCAAGGATCTAACTCAAGTCCTTGTATTGTAGACAGGTAAGTTAATTAGATGTCTTGTAGGCAGTTAGACCAGGCCTCCCTTAGGGCACCAGCCCTCCAGGAGCCAACACACCAAGGAACCAACATGGACAACAAATGAGACACATTCACTGGTCAGCATTATAAAAAGAAGAGGGACTACTTCCCCTAGAGATAGATAGCAGTGATTGATATTCTAAATGGAAAATTCCTTGTATGTGACTTGTTTTCTCATTTGATCCCCTTATTTAATCAGTATTACCTGGGTGACTGTACTTGTAATCTTATTGGTTGGTCATGGTTTTGTCCCACCTCATGCCCACCTTGTAAATTGCCATTGGGTCTGATAGTTTTGTACCCGCCTTACCACATGGCTTTGCTGTATAAAACATCTTTGAAAAGTGGGGTGAGTGGCAACCCACTTTCCAGTCCCGCTTCTGTCTCTCTTAGGCAGAAGCTTTCTTTTTCCCAATAAATTTTTCCTACTCTTAAGCTCCATTGTTTCTAGAATACATTCTTCAATTTTAGAGAACACGAACTTGTGTTTCAGATATCTAGGAGGTTTGGGAGTTAAATCTCTTCCCCCTATATCACTTGCGCTTGCGGGGCAGGCGGTGGAACCACTGAGCTAAATCCCCGGCCCTTCCTGTAATTTATTTTTATTTATCCTGCTTGTGATTTAGTTTTTCTCTTCAATAAGATTCCTATCTTCTGTGAATTCTGAGAACTTGTTAGCTGATAACTATTTAAATATTGCCTTTTGATTTTTTTCCCCATGTATTTTTAATATTTTCTTTGTATTCTTCATGTCCATTATGTGTTCTTTGATATTTTTGCTTCTCTTTGTAGTTTCACTTCTCTTTCATTTTTTCACTTTGATTGGGCTTTTAATCTGGGCATTAGATTTCTAGTTTTATTGACTCTGAGTTTTTATTTGTGGAAGTTATGTCTGGTTAGTTTACATGTCTCCCTGTCATCTTACTCAGTGCCATAGCCTTTCTTTGGGATTATACTTTTAAGCCTGATGCTTCCTGTTTCCATTGTCTTGAGTTCTGGAATGATATTCCTGCTGCATTTGTTTTGCCTGCTGACTCTTGCTCATGGAGAGGATGTGGTTTTGATTGGGAAGGTTTTGTTTTCCCTTTCTTGAGTCTTCTGAATCCTTGATTATGGAGGTGTTCTAGATTGGCTTAATTTGCTTCTGTGAGGTATCCTGCAGAGTTCTGGGCTACAGGATTCTTGTGTCAGGTGCCCGGTATGACTTATTCCTGGTAGCCTGCATGAGCCATAGGTAGGACACTCTTCTCATTGCAAACTATTTTCCTTCCCTGCTCCAAGTACTGGACAGAAGTAGCTTCCTTGCATCATGTCATGCTCCACTCCTGTCAGCTTATGGGCTGTGAATGTACTTACTCTCAGCAGTTTATTTTGTATGTGAGTTACAGTTTTATACAGTGGCTTTGACTCTCACAATAGCAATCTTAAGTTCAGGCTTGTCCGCCCAGGGTTGTTTTGTTTGGTTTTGTTTTTCTAATTTTTTTGTGGCTAGCCCTTCTATAATTAGGGAGGACTTAGGACACTTAAAGAAGTCCTGAAAAATTGGAAAGTAAGTACATAACAGATTCAGAATCGTAGTGATTAAGGCAGTAGGTGATGCTGGATTTTAAGGAAGCCCTTGGAGGCCTAAGAAAGAAAACAGAAAATATTTAAAGAGCACCTTTTATGGCCTTTGCAGTTTTATAATGACAATTAACTTAAGATATAGGTTCCCCTGACTTCATAGATGAGGGAAGTGATCACAGAGGCCAGGTGATATCTGGATGCATCCAAAGTTATCAGTAAACATAATGCAGATAGTGTCTGTCTCACAATTCTATAAAACATTTTCTCTTCACTGAGTCATCTTGCTTTTTGTGTGTCAGCCTACTTATGTGAATTTACTTCACGTTGTCTTTCTTTCCTTTTCCAATTTCATTGCACTATGGCCTGATAATATACATGTGATAATTTCAGTTCCTTTGCACTTACTTAAACATGTTCTGTGAGGTACGATGTGTTCTGTGTTGGAGAATGACCTGTGTGCAGTGGAGAAGAATGTGTATTCTGGTGTTGTGAGGTAGGACACTCTGTAGACATCTACTGAATCCCATTTGTTCAAAAGTTTGGTTCATTTCTAATATTTCATTGTTTACCTTTTGTTTAGTTGATGTATTTGTGACAGTGGGATATTGAGGTCTCCTATTACAACTGTATTAGTGCTTATTTGATTTTTCATGTCCATTAAAATATTTTGTATATTATCTTATATAGTTGGGTGTACTGCTATTTGGTCCGTATATATTTATGATTATTATCTCTTTCTCTTGGATGATTTCCTTTACAAGGATGTAGTGACCTTCTTTGTCTACCTTAATCAGTCTTGGCTTGAAGTCCACTTTGTCTGCAAATAGAACAGCTACCTCTGCCTTTTTCCAGGTTCCTGTTGCATGGAATATTGTTTTCTATTTGTTAATTTTCAGTTTATGAATTTCTTTTTGAATTAAATGTGTTTGTTGTATGCAATATATTGTTGGATCTTGCTTCTTGATCCATTCTGCCAGTCTATTTCTTTTGGTGGGTGAATTGAGACCATTAACATTGATGGTTATGACTGATAATGTATTGACCTATCCCTGTCATGTTATTTTCCTGTTGTTGGCTCCCTTTTTTCCTCTTCTGTTTAATTTCCTACCTTGCCTGGTGGGTTCATTCTGTTGGGTTCATGGAGTTGTAATCCTTGTTATCTCTTTCTAGAATATCCTTCAGAACACTTTGGAGTGCTGATTTGGTGGTCATAAATTTCTTCTGGTGTTCTTTGTCATTAAAGTATCTTATTTCTCCATCAATTTTGAAAGATAGTTTTTCAGGGTACATCATTCTAGGTTGGAAATTGTTTTCCTTTAGGGTTTGAAATATTTCATTCTAAGTTCTCCTTGACTTGAGGGTTTGTGTTGAGAAGTCTGCTGATTCTGATGGATTTTCTTTTATAGTGATTTCTTTCTTTTCTCTAATAGCTTTTAATATTCTGTTCTTGTATTGAATTTCTGGAATCTTGTCTGTTATATGCCTTTGGGAAGATTTTTTTTATCATGCCTAGTTGCATTTCTATATGCCTCACTTACCTGTATGTCAAATTCTTTCCCCGTTTGGGAAATTTTCTCCCATTACATCTGTGAATGGGTTTTTTACGTCAGTTGCAATATGTACTGCTTTTTCATTGACTACAATCAATCTTATGTTATTCTTTTAGTTAATTCTTTTTAAAGAAAGTTTTAAAATCGGAGTAAAGGTTTGCCATTTGTTCATTTTGAAATTCTTGCTCATTTTTCTTTTTAAAGAAATACTTATTTTTTTATTTAAGTAGTACTCTTTGTTTAAGGGTAGCCAATTTAGAACTAATGGAAAGACATTGGTTTTTAATATATCATTCTTTACTTTTATTTGGAGAAGGTGGCAGTAAATGGTACTGGGGTTGAACTCAGGGCCTTCCCACTGAACTATATCCATAGCCCTCTTTTTAAACTTTGAGACTGGTCTTGCTGAGTTGCCTAGGCTGAACTTGAACTTGTGATGCTCCTGCCTTAGCCTCCCAGAATGCTGGGATTATAAGCATGTACCACAACATCTGATTTCTAATTTTACTTTTAAAAAAGAGAGAGAAAGAGAGAATTGGAATGGAAATGAAGTAGGAAGATAGCACAGGACATGAATGTGTAATGAGGCGTACTGCTCTTTGTCTCTTCCCCAGCCCTCCAAGCCACAAGATTGTGGTGAATGGGAAAGAATGTATAAACTTCGCTTCCTTTAATTTCCTTGGATTGCTGGATAGCCCTCGGGTTAAGGTAAGTAGCACATAGTGCTGAAGTTGGTCGATAACCTTACTCACTTAAGAAACAAGACATAAAGTAAAAGACAAATGTGGACTATCAGAGAGGGCTGTGTTAAGTATTTCCCATTACTCCTTGACAGAGTTGAAACCTGGACTTAAGCAAGACAAGAGTACCTAATGGGGCTTAGTATTAGGTGATAGAGAACCCAGTAAGAAAGACCTGGGTAATAAGGAAATCTAGAAAATCTCCCATGTTCTGTTGAGATTGTGGACTAGCAAACATTTTTTGGGAAAGACGTATGCCCACAGATGCGGAAAGTATAAAGATATTGAGTTAAACAGGTGTTGAGAATCAAGCTAGTGTAACTTTTCTATGTTTTAAGCCATATACCTGAATCTTTACATTTGTGTTTCTCTTATATCCTATTAGAATTGTCATAGTTGTAAGGAAGAATGGAAAGTGTGGAAGGGAGAAACAGGAAAAGGAAGTGTAGGTTAAAGAATAGGGATTCTTTGTACTTTTACAAATAAATTATTAAAATATAATTTTTTGCTTCAATTAAGGCAGCAGCTTTAGCATCTCTAAAGAAGTATGGCGTGGGGACCTGTGGACCTAGAGGCTTTTATGGCACATTTGGTAAGTTGTACTCTTTTCAGACTACTACTTTCAGGAGGTAAGATTTGATTTGATTTTAAAACTCCTTGAAAAACATATCCTTAATCAGTGATGTGTGCAATTTCTTACCTTTTATTTTAGGGTCTGGAAGCTCTGGTGGGAAATGCATTGGTCTAGGTTTGTAGGATGGAGTGCCCCTGGATATGCTGTATAGGCTGCTGTTGAATGTGCCTCCTAGACTGAATGAAAACTCATGTGTGCAAAGCAGTATGGCGAATCATCCAGCTGTGGGTGGCCATGCTCTTCAAGTTGTGCAAGAATGCAGATCTTCCTTATCTTGTTGCGCAAGTGTCTGAGGGCACCATCCTTGTTTGCGTGGTGGGACACCAGGTCAGAACGTGGAGGGCCAAGTGCAGGGGAACAGCATCCTTTATGCAGAAGTGGCCTTGCCCATCATTTCTACCCACTGTCCCCTGGTGAGGACTAAGGTCAGGCCATGCCTAGCCACAGAATGGGCTGAAAAAGAGTCCTAACTGCACAACTTTATGCCAGGGAGAAGGACAAAAGCAGTTTTGCTATGGGAAAGAGAGAAATTATGTAACTCTTTTCTTTATGAATGTAGATGAATGATTACTGATTTACTTGTGTGTGACTGGCCCTAGGACAGGCTAAATATTTGGATAAATGAATGATATCAAATAGCATTACCTCCTTGACTCAGAGAAGGTTGGTTGATTTTATTAAGAGTATATTGTTCTTTGTTTCTGAAATGTCATTAAATAATTGTTCAAATGACTATATTGCCATAAATAACATTCTGGCTTATATAGTTTCTAACTATGAGGAAAGCAGAGCAAGGGAGCTATCTTCTGTCTCTTCAGTTTCATTTCTAGATCTTTCTGTTTTTAACATTTAACATGTTTTTATGTCAGGAATGTTTGTTCCTTAGTTTGGTGGTTACACTATTTCATATTGGAAACACATGAGGAAGGTCAGTGTCCAAGAGTCTTACAGCTGAAAGCAATGTCAGAAATCTTGCAATGTTCCATCATCTCAACTACTCAGAACAGGAAGGGAAAATCCAGAGAAGTTAGTGTCTTCCTCAGTAGACCCAGCATCCTGGCTTTCAGTCTTGATGGCAAAATCAAAAGACTGAGCTTAGATCAGAGCCTCCCACTTTCCTCTGTTCTAAAGCAAACATTGTAATTTGTTTGAGTTTTATTGGAAGGGAATGATTTCCTTGAAAAATTATTAGAAAATTAGAAAAGAAAAGGCGATTTTTTAAAATGAGATTTCTGGTAGTCATCTGATTAACAAGGCTTGCTTTCTTTCTATTACTATTTACTGGAATGACAAACTGGCTTTCTTAAAAGCCTCCCTTTCTAGTGATTTTACTTGCATGCGTGACCTTGACCCTGGTTTAGGAGTTAAGCTGGGAAGATGGATGAGTGATGTAGTGCCAAATCAAATTGAGGGAGGAGAGTGTGTCAAATCTTTAAGACCAATTTTCTTAAGTGTGAAATATATGTTGTTACATAACCCAGTCAACTTTCCATTTGGGAAACCTGTACAATGGTGTGCTAAGTGCTTTCAAATATGGGAGTCTTCAGATTAATGGTTGTTAAATCAATTTTCTTGACGGAGTAATTCAGAACAGCATATAAATTTCAAAACAGAAGATATAGATAGATGTGAGAAGTCTTTTAACCCTTCAACCTATCCTCTGTACCCCACCTGCCACTTCCTACCGAAAAAGACAGGCTACTATCAATAGTTTCTTGTTAATTCTTCCAGGTACTTCCTTTCAACATAGGCCAACCACTTCCCCTATTTTTGCAAAAATGGTATATGAGCTCGTTGTTTATTTTTCTTTCTTCCTTTCTTTTGGGTTTGGGTTTGAGTTTTGTTTTTGTGGTGTAGGGATCAAACCCAGAGTCTTGCACGTTCTAGGCAAATGCATTATCACTGATTTACACCCCAGCCCCAAAATGAATGTTTTTTATATTTAAATTGGATATGATCTTTCAAATCTGAATGAGCCACCAGAAGGAGTAGTGAATACACAGTTGTATACTTTATTGGTCACTGGTTTGTCCTTATTCTAAAACTCTAATTGAAAGTTCAAACAGACTTTGGCATCTGGACCAAGGGTATAAGTTAATTTGGGACAGTTTTGTAAGGAGACACTGCACCTAGAAGTAATGCGTGTTGTTTTCTGAGTGTGTTGTCCTGCATGTAAACTTGCTTCATTTCTTGACAGTTATTTAAGCCCTTATTCACTTGCACATTTTTGGTTTAATAAGAGTATTTTTTTACTTCTAAAGAAGTCGTTTGAATAATTATAGTTAATATTAACCTGTGAACTTTTAGCATTTGATTAAATCAGAGAAATGTTTTGGGTTCATCTCAGTCTAAATTTTAAGCCTCTAAAACACCCGCCACAATTAAATTATCAGTAAAGTGCATTTACCTGGGCTACAGTGTGATGGTCCTGAACTTAATCCCCAGTACCACAAAGAAAAGAAAAGAAAAGAAAAGAAGAGAAAAGAAGAGAAAAGAAAAAAAAGGACAGGGTTTCATTCTCTAAGCCAAAAAATTTGCTTTTAATTTTGTCTTGTTTTCCTTGAAGAATCACATTCAGGCTCTTTGGGTGTTTTTTGGTACTAGAGATCGAACTCAGGACCTTGTGCTTGCAAGGCAGGCCCGGAACCACTGAACTAAATCCCTGGCCCCAGGCTCTTTTTTTTTTAAAGCCTACACTTTCTTAACTTTTCTCACCTTTTCAAATAATGAACATAAACTACTTGTGATTAAAGTAAATTTCTTTATTGAAACATTTTCACTTCTTACTGTTTTATAGTGACATAGTTACATGGCCAACAACTAAGTTAAAATTCTCTAGTTTTTTAGGCTACATATTCTTGTCCTCCTAGAGCCTAGAATTAAACAAGTTCTTAAAATGCTGATAAATGCATGATGTTACATGTATGGAAATATCACAGTAAGTCCCATTAATATTGCAATCAAGGGGCCACAGATTTAGCTCAGTGGTTCCACCACCTGCCTCAAAAGCGCAAGGTCCTGAGTTCAAATTCCGGTACCCCCCAAAAATTGTAATCAATATGTGTTAATAATTAAAAATGAATAAAGAAGTAAACTTTTACTTTAAAAAAAAAAAAGAGAGGAAACTGGGACTACCTATATTTTCACCAGGTTGTAATGCCTTCTACAGACTGGTCTGGTCCTTGTGCATTTAGAAGGTATCTGCTAGTAAATTTGTTTTTATTTCATTATTTGTTTTATTTTTCACCCAATTAATCTTTATTTGCTTGATTTTCCCTGGTGTCAAGGGATTTGTTTTGCATATCAGTAGGCATGGCTCTTTGGTCTTATACTAAATCAAAGGACAGCTGTGTGGCAGGGTTTCTTGGTGAAAGGTGATACATTTAGTTCCTTTGTGGAACCAGTAGTAAACAGTTATTCACTTAAAGCATCTGCTTTGGTTTTAAAGCAGTCAGTGGAGCCATAACTGCATATTTTAGTAGGAAGAACATGTGGTCATAAAATTTCTAGATCTGCTACTTTCCTGGCACAGGTCATGGGATATAGTTTTCTCAGTTGTAGGGTAGGAACAGTCCATGCTTGCAGTTTATACCACTTTAGTACAAATCACATAAGATCCTGCAAGTGAAAATATTTTGAAAAACACATTAGATTTGTGTTATAAATATATAAGTGCTATTATTTTTACTTCTAGGAAAAATTCACCAGGTCTCTAAGGGCTTTTTTTAAAAGAACAGTTTGTACACAAAAATAAGAAACTTTGAAGAGAAAATGTGGTAGGGATTGTTTCTGAACTGTTGTAAAGTTGATTATTTTATGGTCTTTCCTCAGGAAAAAAACCAAGAAACCTAAAATCTTTCCTCATTATAAATAATGAGCTTGTCACGTCCAGGGGATGAGCACCACTGCACCACTGCTCTGCTGTCCAAGCAGCCCACTGATATCATAAATTCAGCCCTGGTAAAAAATTAGAGGGACAAAGTTCAACAAAAGGAAGACTCTTTATTTATACAGAGGAAAAGAAAAGAGGGGCAGGGAGAAGACAACTGCTCAGATACACAGAATCAGAGTAGGGGACTCCAGAAAGATGGAGGACCCATGGGCCTGTTTTAGCTGCTTTTATAGGGAGTCAGAGACTGTTTTAGTTATGTTTCTCACTGCTCAGACTAAGTACCTGACACCTAAAGTTAAAGGAGGAAAGGTTTATTTGGCTCACAGTTTGTAGAGGTTTCAGTCTATAGTTGGCTGGCTCCGAGGCTGGGTGGCATGGCAGTAGGGCATCACAGCAGAGAAACAGTCTATGGGAGGGCAGGCAGTGAAGCAGCAAGCTACAAGTGACCAGCAGCAACTTCTTGTCCCTTATTTCTTATGCAGGTTACTCACCCTTTAGGCAGGTAGCACTCGTACCTAGGGTAGGGCAGCCTTAATCCTAGCATCCTACGATGAATCAGTTCCAGCATCACATCCTTGATCACAGCAGCACATACCCTAGATCCAGACACTTTGGAAAAGGCCCACCTATGAGCATATGAGGCTTTGGGGGGACATCTAGATACAAGCCACAACATTCTACCCCTGACCTCCTAAAGACTCATATACATCCCTTTATACAAAAGGCATTTACTCTATCTCTAAGTATTACCAAATTCCTGACAGTTTCAGCATTGCTGAAGAGTCCAAGTCCAAACTTTCCTTGGGATTTAAGACAAACTCTTACCTGCAAGCCCCTGTACAAATTGAAAGAAAGCTAAATATTTCCAGCATTCAATGGTACGAGATAGACATTTCCATTCCAAAAGGTAGGAAAAGGAGGAAAGGAAGGAATAGGACCAAAGCAAGACCAAAGTCCAAAAGGGCAAACATTAAATCCCATAGTACCATGTCTAGCAACCCCAGGAATTTATAGCAGGGCTTGAACTCCAGAGAGCTTGGGTCTCCCTTCTTACAAGAGTTGGGGG